CTCCAAATCTGTATAGTTAAAATTTAAAGTATTTGCAGATGTCCACAGCATTGAATAGACTTCATCTGGTTGATCATGGTGAGATTTCAGAAATCACAAGTGACTGCATTCTTGGTTTTCTGCACAGAATCCAAATGTGTGTTAGACCTACTTATAAAATGCTAACACCAGCTGGAGATAGAAGTTTTGAGAATCTACAGCAACGGAAAAGGTTATCTTAGTAGCAAGTCTGCAGTTCACTTGATCTTGGTTGAAATTTGATCAGGGTACCAGGGGGAGTAAGTGGAGCATCTATCTGCACTTTACTGGAAACCTCGCCACTGTAGGTTTCCGTCTCTTTGAATGAGAAGTGAATCAATTCTCTAGGATAGATCTTTTGGCTAAGTTACTGTAAAGGTGCGATTATTTGACTGAGGTCCCTGATTTCTTGTGTCATGTTTTAAAATAAGAGTGCCAGAGTTGAGGATGGGAACCCATTTCATTTGCTGGTGTGGTTATAGTTGGAGAAATGCAATTCACTTGCTGTCTTGAAGTAGTTGCTTTTTTCTCCTCATCCCTCCGCCCCCTGCCCCTGTGTTGCTCATCCAGAACAAGATTGTTGCTGCCTCCTGTCTTGGTAGCTGAATTTCACTGATGAGTCAGAAAAACTCTGCAAGCTGGGGGAAAAAAAAGAGCTCTTTGAGCCTTATAAATGAAATGTGTTAATGAAAAGCTGTCTGTCAGTGTTGATCAAAACCGATGCATTTGTCTCAGAATTGAGAGAAGCCGAGAGTAACCATATAGTCAGTTACCACAGCTGAGCTGATAGGCAATAGCTCATTTAATTATGACAACTCAGTTGCATGTGTTTGAATGACCATATCCTCAGCATCAGCAAAGACAACAGTGATTAAGTATATGTAGACCGTAAACTGTTTTCACCGGTAAAAAAAAGTAGCATTTCTGCAGATGTGCAAGATATCACAATGAAGCTACTCTTTGCTGAAATGAATATTCTGTGACTAGAAAAAAATATTTTAGCATTTTGGTCTAATATATTTCATGAATATTAATGAAAATTTGAAAGTTAATTTAATTCCTTCATACTAAAGTCAGTCATAGGATGAGGACAGCTGAGGATAAACCCGAAGAAGGAAACGCATGGTTTTAATTAGTGTTTTCTGTAGTTTTCTTTTATTGTGACAAATCTTGACATCTTTTGAATGTTGATTGTCTAGTGTGAATATATTGCTTGGTTACAACGCTTCCATAATAACAGTTCTACTGTATAATAGCACTGCTGCTGTTTGTGTGTTAAATATTTCAGAACTGCTCCCATCTCTTACCTGTAATTGCTGCCCCTACCCCCATACATAGTTTAAAGTATCTTTAAGATCTGGCATATGCTACCTCATAAATTGACTTGCTAATGGAATGAGTACTGCAACTCTACCTTCTCCAAGGACCAGCAAATCATTTCTGCAATATTGTCAGTTTCCATTGACCTATTATTGAAACTACTCTATAATTCCAAAACAAAAAGCACTCAGATATGCACTAACGTAGGCAAAATGTATCTCTTACTAGAGTACAATTATGCAAGCAGGGACTACCTGTCATGTTGCTGGAGACGAGAGAATTAACATGCTGTTCTCGGCGTGTTGTCCTCCATATGTTTCAAACGCACTACTTTAGTGTTAAAAGGTCAGTGTTAAACTGTAAGTTTGTGGAAAACATGATATATTTTTTTGAAAGCAGTGATGAGATTTCTATGTTAAATTAAAAAAGGTGAAATAAATTTTAGCTATGGAGTTGTGACTAGTCTTTCAATAATTAATGAAGTCGTACTAAGGTGCTTATAGAATGCTGTTGTGGCAAAAAAATCTAAGCAAGAAGCATTCTTTATGACCTGGATGCCATGCTGCCTTTGTTTACTTCTCTAAGATGTCATACCTACCATCTTTGTTTCTTACGGATAACAAATATTGAAAAGATTCAAAAAAAGAGTGGTTAAGAAAGGAATATGCTTTAGAAGTAATATTTTAGATCTGGGAGAAGGGGACCAAAAGGAAGTTAAGTGAGGTCTGGTTGCAAACTTTGTTCAATGATTTCTTTCACAGTAAATCCACTGTGAATACCCTTTCTTCCAAAGGTGTAGGTAGAGCACATATAGCAGAGTAGCATTTTGATGAAGAAATTAATAGCAGCCGTATAAACAAAGAAACAAGAACTCATTTTGCCAAGGAGTTGATGGCATCAAAGGAAGAGAGATAGATTTGTATTGCTGTCATAGGGAAATAGGAATTGAAGGATCTCAATAGGATCTCTTGCCCTCCTCTGAAGCTATGCCTGTATAATACGTACTTCATTTTTATCAACTTTCAGAAATCCTTCAGTGTTGGTGACTTTGTCCCTGAAGGTGGTGTATTTCAGAGCTTTGTTATTCTTACTGTCTTCGTGTTTTTTTCTAGTATGCACCCTTGATATAATCTTCTTGCTGTAAGTTAAACCAGAATCATAAGAAAGTTCAGGGTGGAAGAGATCTCAGGAGGTCTCCAGTCAAACCTCCTGCTCAAAGGAGGGTCAGCAGTGAGATGGGACTAAATTGCTCAAGGCTTTATCCAGTTCCTTCTTGTAAATCCTTAAGGATTGAGACTGAGCAACCTCTTTGGGCAACCTATTCTACTGCTTGATTCTCCTCATGGTGAAAAAGCTTTTCCTTGTATCTACTTTGAATTTCTCTTGTTTCAACTTAGGCTCATTGTGTTTTATCCTCTGGCCATGCACTGCTGTGAAGAGCCTGGCTCCATCTCCTTCATCACTTCCTCATGGATATGAGAAGGCTGATTTTAGGTCCTCCCAGGGCCATCTCCTGTCCATGCTGAAGGATTCTGGTTCTCTCAGCTTTTCCTCATAGGACAAGTGCTCCAGCCTCTGATCACCTTCGTGGCCCTCTGCTGAACTTGCTTCAGTTACTGATATCTTGAAGAGCCTAAAACTGGATTTATTACTTTAGGTATGTCTAACAAGTGCTGAGTGGAAGGGAATAGATCCCTTGATCTACTGGCTGTGCTTCTGCTGATACAGCCCAGGATCACGATGGCCATCCTTGCTGCCGGGGAACATTGCTGGCTCATATTTAGCTTGCTATCCACTGAGACCTGCAGGTCATTTTCAGTTGCTTCCTAGCCAGTCAGTCCCCTCAGCCTGTCCAGTTCATTCCTCCCCAATTGCAGGGCTTTGCGTTTGTCCTTGTTGAGTGTAGAAAGGTTCCTGTTTGCCCATTCCTTGACCGTGTCTGCATGCTTCTGAATGGTAGCCCTGCCCTCAGGCATATTGGCTGATCCTCCCAATTTAGCATCATCTGCAAACTCTGTATAAAAGCATATAAAAAGATGAGTCCTATTATTTTCTCTTGAAACTCTTACCAGCGTCATCATGCTTGCCATCAGTCTTCTGTTTGTTGAAACAGTCCAGTGTTTTCAATTTTCTGGTGTCAGTTGTGGTTTCTAAACCTCTGATATTGTTACTGATCTCTTCTAGTCTACCCTTTTCTTGACATTCAGTATCCAAAGCAGGATGCCTGGTTTCGCCTGGAATGTTTCATGCCAGTGTGATATTTTTGTATATATTTATATTTTGTGATATTTGTGATACATTGTAGCCTTTTTGCTACAAAATAAGCTTGACATATTCAACTGTTGTCTACTATTACTCCTTGACGTTATTGTATAGAACTTGCTACAAAGCTAGATGTTTTCTCTTGTGTAGTTGATTATTGCTTCTTTTGACCTCGTCATGGTACTTATTGAATTGCATCTTATTATTTTTAGATTGTTTCTCATCGTATAATCTTGCGGTCTCTATCGGTTTGTTGTCATCTGTGGAATTAATTTAATAAGCGTGCACTCTATTTTATGATCTAAGACACTTCTTATGAAACTATGAAGTAAAGCTGGGCCCAGACACATGCCTGAAAAACATGACCTGAGAAAATCCTTTCTATTGACAGTGGGTCGTTGAAACAGCTAATTTTGTATGTCATTGTTTTGTTTTTTTTAGAATACCTCAGAAAATTTCCTGTGAGATACACTGTGCAGTTATAGGGATTTTTTTTTTTCAAGATGTGAACGCCATGAGAACAAATGCAGCAGAAGCCAGTTCTGAATTTATTCCTTCTTTACAAGATACTTACTTTATTAGGGTGTAGTGGAAAGCAGGGGCAGAAGATTCAATAATTGAGAGGAGAGTGATTTGTGAGATCTGATCTTAGAATTATGGAGGGGAGAATGTGGACATCTGGGCTGTTAATAGGCTGTGCTTTATCATATTAGATACTAGCTCCGAGGAGTCCTCAGTAAGATCTGTTTTGAGTATTCGTTGCTTGTAGCCTGGCCCAAAACCTCTGAAATCCGTGTGACTCCTTTTTGACTTCTCACCATGTTTGTAGTTTCTCCTTTGAAAGTTTAAAGCTTGCCACTACCTCTTGCTTTCCTTCTGCAACAGTGAAGGAAGGGATCTGGCCTCTCTTCCCAAAGAAGAGCAGAGATTCAACAGTAAGGCAATATGCAGGAATGTATGCTTGAACTGCTTTCACTTTTCGTTTTTTTTTTCAAAAACGGAACAGTGAAACTACAAATAGCAACAGCTAAAATAGAAGTCCTTCTCCAGTATGTTTTTTTTTTATTTTACTATTAGTGTGAAGTGCTTTTTGGGGTTTTCATAGAGCATATGCAATTTGGAATAAAACTAATTGTGCTCTTTACAGAATTGCTGTCTTTTTTCCTGCCTTTGTAGTGTAGTTAGCATCTGAATTTGGAACACGTGGAGTACAGGAGAAATACTGTAATAAAATGTGTTTATTACAGAAGGTTATAATTCCTTTGATTATTCCTCAGACAATGCCATTTATTCATTAAGGCTCTATTTTATGATAATAATAATTTAGATTGATGCAGATTTTACAATGTTCAAATATTTTTTTATAACCTGCAACATTTTAAATATATTTTTTTATTTAGGGTATTCTCTTGGTTTATGATATTACCAATGGCCAGAGCTTTGAAAATTTAGAAGACTGGTATAATGTGGTAAAAAAAGTGAATGAAGAATCAGAAACACAGCCACTTGTGGCCTTGGTTGGAAATAAAAGTAAGTTACTCATACTTAAATATTAATTTAAATACTCTAGATGTTGCTCTCTATTGAAGAAATGGCACAGGGCATATATCTTTAGTAAAATGAAACTAAATACTGTCTTGTGCGTTACTGCTGTGTACAGGTGACATATTTGGGTGTGCCTCAGGATTCTGGTGCTGGGCAGTTAGGTTGAGGGACTTGCTGCGTCATGCTTTGCCTGGCCTGCAGCTTCTCTGCCTGTGTTTTCTTTACTTGGAGAGCAGCACATAGGAGTAGAGAGATTTCTCTCACCCATGTTTGAATTTGATAGGACTTCAGGATATAGCCATGGCATGCATCTAGAATGGAGGACTGGGAAGCATTCCTGGATCTAATAACAGGTATATCTCATGGTTCTGTATGTCAAGAGACTGCTAAATTAAGTACTGATGTATATTGTTTAAAATAACTACACTATGCACTTGGCATAATATTTATGAATTGCTTATTAGGCCTTTTTTGCATGCTATCTGTAGTTTTGCACGTGAGGTTACTTACTTCCTGTTGCTCTGGGATTTTTTAACCTGTCCTCTTTTTGATCACTTAAGTATGATATAACGGTTTTCTTCTGACCACCAAAATATACCACTTTAAATAAACCATCACCTAGATAGTTTCCTAATTAGATGAATTCCAAATTCCCCTATTTCCAGCTAAGACATCTTACAGAAACATCCTTATTAGCTTATCATCCTTACGAGGTCTTGATCTTGGCGCTCTCGCCCTTTTTCTGTTGAAGATGATAAAAGCAACATAAAGCAATTTAGAAACAAAGTGGTGGAAGCAGATACAGATTTTTTTAACAATGTAAGTATATTTATTTGAACAACAAAAACTAGATTTTTTTTCCTGACTTTACAAGTAATTTGTGTCCGTGCCACAATGTCTATATCCTGAACAAACATGAAAAAGACCTCATCCAGCAAGTTTGTGTTGTTTAAAAGCATTTGAAAACATTGTAGAGACAACACTTTCAGAACCATTAACAGTAGTGTTGCTACTGTGATGCTGTAACATTTTATGATATTAATTATGAAAGACTACTTATTTTCTGGAAGAAAACAGAGAAGCTCTTAGAGTTACAATATATAAATAGCACTTCTGAAAGTATAACATAGAAAGTGTTGTACTGTAGCAGACCAGAGTCAATAATACAGATTCTGTTGAAATTCAAATGAAAAATATTTTTCACTGATTTATATTTTGCCCCAAAATTGGACTTTCTAGCTGGAGTTCTGCAAATCTTACAAAGTATGTACAGTAAGACATATTGTAACAGGGGATAAATATTTTTCTTTTGCTGGAATGACACCACAGATGTAGAAAATCAGACACTGGTTTCCATTTGGAGGAGTTTTCTCTCTGTTACATGCCTGAAGTATGTATATTTTTCTCATATACATGCTTGCAGTTCTTGAAAATCTAAGTATTTCATTGAGAGCATCTGCAAATAGATTACAGTTTTGCAGGTGAGTTTCCAGATAAAGACTGACACTAATTAGTGAAAGGGCTTTCATTTTATGAAAACAGCAACTGAATGACCAATGCGCTTGCTACCTTATTTTCCTTCGGAAGCTGTGTATAAAGAAAAAAAGCCAACTATTTCTTTCATGTGAGCCTAAGGCTGTTGTTGTTGCACATGTCGAGTATGCAGGGGATGCTGCTTACAGAGGTAATTTTATTTGCTTTATTTTTTTCAGTATGATAAAAATTAAGCTTTTAGAAGTGTATTGCTTTTCTGAATTCTATAATAGGAGAATAGTATCTAGGAATGCTTCCACTTCAATACTTTGATGGTGTGTGAGAGGTAACTGTTGTCAGGTTCCTATTGTTACATAAATAGAAAACAAGCTGTTTATATAGAAGCATGATGTTGGCTCTTGAGTGTTAAAAGGATAAAGCTACTAGTACTAACAAGTTCTTCAGGTGGAATCACTGTATTCAGAATAACTCAACTTTTTTACTCAGTAAGTAATAAGACACTTGTACCAAGTGAAACCAAGAAAAGCCATTTGACGGATTGATGAACTTAATCATCATACATCATACAGGAGAAATACTTTCAGTCAGTGGTTTCTGTCTCAGGATTGTATTTGTTTTTTGAGCTGTACATGTCTTTTAGGAAAATATCCAGGTATGCTTACTTGAAGACTAGGAATGTCTGTATCGACAGGAAGTTGTTCTAACACTTTCTTTCTGATAAAATTTTTTAAAAATTGCCAAGAATGCAGTTATTTTCATTCATAGCAACTGGAAAGCGTTGGGTGAGTGTTTAGATACCTAGTTAAGAATTTGGAAGCCCAGCTGAAACCATCCATTTTGAAACCTTGACCTAAATTTAGTGCTGCTCTTTTAAGTATACTAAGCTTGGGCTTAGAGTCTCATTTAACCATTTTCCCTTGCTAATACTGCCTGAAAGAGATGCATATTTTTCCAGTTTGGGGTAAAACACCTGAGTGTTTGTGTAGCACTACCTGCTGTAGTGCTCCAGAAATAGGAATAAAGCTATTTTTTTTTTAAAGAAAAGCTTTTTTTTTTTTTAAGAAAACAATGAAAAATATTTTTCTTCACAATAAAGTATGGAAGAGTTGCATACATGAATCCTATTAGATGAAAATAATTTCCTTGGGTAACTTTGTTATTGAAAGCAAATTACTTCAGGTATAGGAGTCTATAAAACTGCATAATTTATTAGTAATGTTTTATATCAATTTGTAGTCATTCTGTTAATGTGTTAAGTTTGCAGGAATTTCTTCAGTATTCCAGCAAACTTGAAGTTCAGTGGTAATTTAAATGAATCAGTACTAGTTTTGACTATTCTATTTTACTGTACATTGCAATAGATTAGAAGCATGAACACAGTAAGCTACTGTGTCTGTTTAAAGCATGATAATTAAGTTCAGAGTGGGGACAATTTATTAAAATGTCCTGTTGTGGTTGTAAGATACTAAGATTTACTCATGAACATTGGAAAGGTAATTTCTTCATACAAAGCTCCAATCAATCTCCAATCTCTCATCCATCAGAAATCTATTTGAAAATAATAGAGTAATAATATCCTAAATTCTGGACCTCCCCGTCCCTCTTTTTTTTTTTCTCTCTCTCTCTCTTCTCTTATTTTTTCTTCAGGACTAGCTAAAATGAAAGACTGTCATTGCCCACCAATTTGTTAAAAACAATTGAGAGAACAAGAGCTTCAGAGATGCAGTCCTCCTTTGTGAAAGTGATACTTTATTTAAGGTGACTGTCTTACTTCTGGGTGCTTAGTGTTTTTTTTCATTCTTGCTTCCTTCCCATACACTTTTTTCCATATGCTGACCTACAAATTCGGTCAGAGAGAGTAGAAAACTGATTTGAGTCAAGACCCTGCCTAGACCTATGTCCTGTAGTTACATCCGATTATCAGTTAATTCTCTTGTCTTTTCATAGATTTTTGTCTGTGCATTTGGTAAACAATAAAAGGCTGGAGAGGTGGGCCTGTATGAACCTCATGAAGTTCAACAAGGCCAAGTGCAAGATCCTGCACGTGGGGCAGGGCAATCCCAAGCACAAGTACAGGCTGGGTGGAGAATGAATTGAGAGGAGCACGGAGGAGAAGGACTTTGGGGTGCTGGTTGATGAGAAGCTCAACATGAGCCGGCAGTGTGCTCTGGCAGCCCAGAAAGCCAGCCGTGTCCTAGGTTGCATCCAAAGAAGTGTGGCCAGCAGGTCGAGGGAAGTGATTCTGCCCCTCTACTCTGCTCTTGTGAGACCCCACCTGGAACACTGTGTTCAGCTCTGGAGTCTCCAACACAAGAAGGACATGGAGCTGCTGGAGCGATTCCAGAGGAGGGCCACGAAGATGATCCGAGGGCCGGAGCATCTCTGCTATGAAGACAGGCTGAGAGAGTTAGGGCTGTTCAGCCTGGAGGAGAGAAGGCTCCAGGGTGATCTTATCGCAGCCTTCCAGTACCTAAAGGGGGCCTACAGGAAAGCTGGAGAGGGACTTTTCACAAGGGTATATAGTGATAAGATAAGGGGCAATGGCTTTAAACTGAAAGAGGGGAGATTTCGATGAGATACAAAGAAGAAATTTTTTACAGTGAGGGTGGTGAGGCACTGAAACAGGTTGCCCAGAGAAGTTGTGGATGCCTCATCCCTGGAAGTGTTCAAGGCCAGGTTGGATGAGGCTTTGGGCAACCTGATGTAGTGGAGGGTGTCCCTGCCCATGGCAGCGGGGTTGAAACTAGATGGTATTTGAGGTCCCTTCCAACCCAAACCGTTCTATGATTCTATAATTTAATGTAGGATTTTTCTTTTTCATAGTAATTGTGAGACATAAGATCTTAATCAGTCAAGATCTTTATATTTGGCGTTGAATCTTAAATTTAACTTTCCTCGTAACTTACTTTGCGGTATTTTAATCTTATTTAATACAAAGTATATTTGAAGTTTGCTTATTTCTATGTTGCTAATACCACTTCATTTTCACCAGAAATAAGGAGGTATACCTTATTATTAAGATGAACAAATGCTTTTGAGTTTCAGTGCAGTAACTTAAAACTTTTATAGATATGTTGCTGTCAAATACTTATATTCTACGGGATAAATTGAACTATAGTTATCAAGTGAATGAATTGTGTTTTGTGCACTTAGGATCTTTGTGTAAATTTGGTGTTGACAAAGTTCAGTAATCATAATGGATATTCTAGTTGTTAGTGTGAATCAGAGTTGTTTTACTGTTTTGTGTGAGTGATGTAGTTTTTTTCCTTTCTACCTTGACTACTTTATGTATTTTACTCTGCACTAATCTATAAGCAAACTCCTCAAGTATCATATCAACATTTTCAGTGGATATATTATAAACAAAAATTAACCCAGGTTCCATGGGAGCTACACTCATTTTGATTTATAGCTACTGAGATGGTGTTAGGGCAGTGGTTATCTGTAGCTTATATAGGGGTAGGAATTATCAGGTACCAGCGTATAGTGGA